TACTCCTTGCATTGAAATGTCACTTTCTGTCGTCTTCATCGTCATTTATTCTTAGAAAGGTGAATTCTTCCTCGAATATTATTCTTCACCAGAACTTACAGACGATACTGTGCACAGACAGGCATTTATGACGGAACCGATCGCAGATCGAAAACGCATGTTTTTCACAATATAACGCAGAACGGCCGTCATTTGGTGACAAAGGGAATCCTATTTCACCTCTTATCATTTCACCTGTAGATGTACACAATAAACAGTTCACCTATCCATGTATGTTATAATTCGGATTCAAGATGTACGCATTGTATAGTCTATCAATCCATATGTTTTATCTAGACATCTAGATGTACAGAAGTAATAGTTAATCTACATGACTAAGTTGTCTTAAGTTATTTATTCAGGAGATGTCAATGGACACTCGTACAGTCACCCTACCTGTCTTGTTGTGAACATGTAATAACAGTGTCCGGCAATTCTTCACTGGTCCAACATGACGCCTCTCCCTCGATTTCTGTAACAGAAAGATTTGATGAATTCAACACATGGCATCTGATAGTTGTTTATGAAGGTCTTGTAAAGTTAAACACATCTGCCATAATAAATCGTAGTAATCTTGGAGAACATTGTCAATTAATTTAAGGAATCAACATGTCAATCAAGGTGGTACACGGGCTAACATTTCAGAAGCAGCTGCTCATAGAAAACTGGACATGCGTATACCTGGTTTGTGGCTACAGAAGGTATTGAGGGCAATTTTCAGCTGTTCAACTTTGAAAAGTGATCTTCTCAAAGACCATGGTCGTTGGCATTCATCTGCTGCTGTCAATGTCTGCTGGCTGGAAAGAGAAAATATTTATTTATAGTCTTTCTGCCTAACATTCGAATTATATTCTGAAGGTAGTATGTAAGTCGTTGGTATTTCAGTTAATTTGTATGTGTGCCAACCTCTTCATTATCAATGCTGCGGTGGTTCGGTGAAAATAATAACAGCTTAATCAATATGGAACATTAAATAAAAGTTAGTAAGAAGTTGTCATATTTACAAAATGACTCTTGTAACTTTATCCGACTTCTGCTATGTAAGCATATCACATACGGATTGGATTGCAAGGTTACGATTAATGAGTGTAATGATTGCTCGAACAACCAATGCATCGCAACTGTTCATGTCTCGATGGCAGTACAAATATCAAGAGTTGACATCAATAACACTCTAGGCTATCGGAGAGTTACGATATACATAATTCCTAGTATTATGCACAACCACCAGTAGCTAAAGTGATGACGTAAATCCTGCTGGGGTATCATGCAGGAAGCCGGGGTACTGTTAATCCCCAGCGAGGTGTCCTAGCTTTAGTTACTGGTAGCCATTAGTCCGTGTTTTAAAAATGTATACATGATATTGTTATGCTCAAATATGTTTCATAAATTGTTTATAAATATAACTTTGCATAAATGACTCTATCGTAAACTTATTAATTTGGTCTCGTCGCAATATGGCTGGAAAAATGCCGATGCGACGTTAAATTTTAAGATACTCACTCACTCGTCAGAGGTTGACTATTACTTTCTCTGAAAGGAAACAGCTTGACAATTATTGTTTTTAAAAGATTGTATCAGCGAATTACGATACTAACCTGCAATCAAGGCTAAGTTTGCCATGTGCGATAAGATTTCTAAACCTTGGTCTTTGCATGATCCCCGATATTTGTGCATAAACGTTCTGACATGCACTAGATGTAGCTGGTACAATCTGTCTCCTCGTAGGCCACTCTAGACCTGACACTGGAAGGTCACACAGAGAAGAATATTGTTGTCAGCGACATAATATTAATATAATAATAATAATAATAATAATAATTATTATTATTATTAAGCATCCCAAAAGAATTTCTTTCTTCGTAAATTGATCAATATTGTACATCCGTTAAGAAGTGTTTTAGATCCCCCCAAAAGTTGTTGACAATTATGCATTCTCAACTAAGTTGATATGGATTGGTTAAAAAAAAACGTAGTCGGACAAAACCACTTCCCAAAATGAAAATCGATTGGACCGATAACTTTAAGTTATTGGGCATTAAATTTGATACTGATCTTGAAATTATAACGATAAATTCAAAGAAATAAAAAAATCAATGCAATTATGGAAAAGTAGAATACTTACACCCTTTGGACGAAATACAATATTGAAATCATTATTGTTACCAAAACTTAATCGTTTGTTTTCTACTGTTCCTGCTCCATCCGAAGATATTATAAATAAATTTCAAGCAAAGTGCTTCAGATTTATTTGGAATGAAAAACCGGATAAAATTAAAAGGGAAAGGGTAATGAACAATATTCCTAACGGTGGTTTTAAAGTACCCCTAGTAAAAGATATTATTGCATCTCAAAATATTTCTTGGCTTCGTCACATACATCTATCAAATACAACCCTTAAATCGTTTATATTTGAGGCTAATATAATCCCATCTGATATTTTTCAAATGGATGCAAAATACATAAGAGACCACATCGTCAAGACTATCAGAAATCCTTTTTGGCGAGATGTAGTGTCGTCTTGGGGCCGATATATAGAAAAACATAAGAAAACACGAAAGGATGCTTATTCCCAATATATATGGTACAATGACAATGTGCAGATTGATGGGAAATATATATTTATTAACAAGTGGGATGATGTGGGAGTAAAATATATCAATGATTTGGTAGATCATCAGGGCCGACTTCTTTCATACTTAGAATTTGAGAATAGATACAATGTTTCGTGTAATCGTTTAACCTTTTACGGAGTAAGAAATGCTATAAATGTTTATTTAAAATCTTTAGAAACTTATGATGTTACACCATTGGTAGCCCCAATTTAACCATTTAACATTCATGTACTTATGAAGAGTCCAAAGGGTTCAAAATACTACTATGATGTGCTATTGAGTTCAACATTTCAGAGGACATCAGCCAATCAGCAATGGGAAAATGAAATAAAATATTATACAGATTATGAATGGAAAAATATAAATGAAATACCCTTCCGATGTACTGATAGTGTGCAATTGCGTTGGCTTCAGTACAGAATCATTAATCAAATACTTCCAGTTGGTAAATACCTATTTAAAGTGGGATATAAAGATTCTCCCTTGTGTACAAGTTGTGATAAAGTTATTGCTGACATTTCTCATGTACTATGGAATTGTGAAAACGCTAGCTCTCTCTGGGCCGAACTTGAAAGATGGATAAATAATAAGGCGGAAATTCATATCAATTTCACCAAAGAAAACGTTTTACTGGGCTTTCCATTTAAAGGAAATGATCCATTAAATGCTATATGCCTTGTCATTAAGGATACTATATTCAAATTTTATCTTAAAAAGAAAAAAATGTCTTTCGAGTTGATCCAGAGAGAGTTGGCAAATTACTACTTTATAACTAAAGCGATAGCTTACTCTAACTGTAACTACAACAAGTTTGTGAAGTTTTGGTCCAGCTGCCACAAACTATTTTTGTAACCATATCAACTCAAATACTGCATTATCCGAGTTCATATACCCCTGTTCTGTTGTTGTTTTAAGAATCGCTGTATGAACATTAATATGAATGAAATGCTGTACGACAAAAAAAGTGGAATAATAATAATAATAATAATAATAATAATAATAAAAAAATATGCATTCTCGAGAAACACAGCAAGTTGTAACACATATATGTCAACTAGCGTCCACACAAAGTGACCACATCGACGGAATCATTGCATGTGATGTTAAACGCCGCTTTTTACAGTTTTCTGTTATAGACCAGTGTAATGAGATAGCGTGGTAAGAATTATGATGAGGATGTATCTGGGATTTAAATCAACGATCATGATGTGCTGGCTGGCATGCTTATGGTATGCAACTCGTTTCGTTAGTCTGCCATGTATAAATACTGAAACATGCTACAGTATAACGGTTACCTACCATATGAGAGGAGAACAGTAGCAACACACATCACAAACTTCATCCTGGCAGCATGCAGTCGACGTGCTCGATGTCACAGAACATCCCAGGTTTTTATATAAGAAGTATTCAGAAAAGTTAATGATTTTTCCAATTTGTTTCAATTGCAAGAGTAATCATCCTTCCAAGTCATGTGTCAACTTAAAAGGTTACGAGGAATTCCATAAACTGAATAATACGTCCACAATTATTCGACTTTCCTATAAATCTGTATAACTACTTAATTTGATGGAACAATAGGGAGAGACTTTCAAGTGAGACATTAACATTTCAAAGGGGCGTGAACACCCAACTGACTACAACTAAATATCCCGATAGAATAGGTTGTCAACAGTGATGGGCCTTGACCTGAATTTCATATTGCAATTTGATTGCAATAATGATTCATGTATTGCGATATGTACCACAATATATTGCATTTTAGCAGTAATTTGTTGAACATGAATACCCCCCCAACCCCCAACCCCCATCCCTGAATTTTTTTTACATCTTTGTATTCTGTTGGATGTTGCTATGGTCACCAAACATGCGTAAAGACACATTATATACAGGAAACTATATCAAAGTATTGGTATCACTGTCTTTTGTTAAATTATACTGAGTATGTTGATGGTTTTAATTAGACTGTAACAAACGGGAGAGGACTTGAATACACTACATAAGACTTTGTGTATGAAAATTACATAGGATTTTCAAGCTAAAGTCATAAGTTGCTAAATGCTACTTGGACAATAAAGAGCATGACAACAGGACTTCTGGTGTGGGCATGCGCCTTGACCCTTATGATATTACGCATGCGCATGGACAGCGTCTAAAACGCGAGAAAATGAATTGTCGCATTCTCGCGATTTCGTGTCTTTGTGGCTTAATTTGACAAGTCCAGATTGCGGGATTGCGAGATTTTGCATCATGTCTAAATGTCACATTCTCGCGTTCTCAACATTTGACAAAAAGTGCTATGTACCAGAAACACCGGCATGCTACTCGAATTCTAAAGAAACGATGGTCGAAATTCAGACTCATTTATTAAGATTCAAACATAACATGATGTTTTGCTCCACTTTTATCGGAAGGTGTGTTTGCATGGATACATCTAAGGAAAAATATCCAAAACCAGTTGCCGGAAGATGGCGCCAGTGGTGTTGGTACACTTTCTGAGATTGCTCACATTTTGGTAAACACACTCAGCAAAAGCACGCCTGAAACAGAATAAACATATTAAGTAAATAATAACATGTATATTGTACATCTTGTCGCCAAATATGGCACTCGCGCTCATGGAGAGATTTGATTCATACATTGCAATTATCTCATCACAAGTGTCTTTTTTATGATAATAAAGGTGCAAATTTGTTATTTAGGTCATCTTAAGGCAGGAAAACAGGAACTGAGGCAGGTCTTAGATGATGTTTCCACTACAAAGAGAAATATTTTGCTTGGTCCAACAAATGTACCCCCGTTTCAAAGATTTACCATTACCCTTAATGCTAAGAAGGAAGGTCTTTCTTTACAATCACAAGTATCTCAGACAAATGGCATTAAGACCATGTGAAATCTAAAAACTCAGCGGATTGGCTTGAATTGTTTACTCTCAGAAAACAACAAAGTTCAATCATGTCAGAACATTTGATTGTTTAACTTAGTACACCACTATCCCAACTTCAGGACATACTTAATACCTTGATCAATAGGGCATTGGTCACGAGTGAGCGTGTAGGGTTTAACGCCGCTTTTAACAGTATTTCACTTATATCACGGCGTGTCAGCTTAATGTGGGAGGAAAGCCTGAAGTGATTCAGGTATGGTGCTGACAACCTAGAAACATAATCGGGGAGAACCTGGATTCGAACTCACAATCATAGGTTTCTTGCGTGCCCAAGGGACGCAATTCTGGACAGCGAATCGCGGCGCCTAAGATGATTGGGCCACCCCTGTCCCCCATTTGTCACTAACGTGGTGACCATTTATATAGGTTCATCACTATTTCCAAAGGGTCAGGATAATGTGTCAATACTGAAAGCAAATGTCATCTGTGGTTTGCTGAGAAAACAATATGTGAAATACCAGTATTCGACTTCGCTTGTGCATAACGTCTATATGAAATTTGGGGACAGGACATTTATGCAAGAAAAAGGCATCCTCATGGGCGTCCAATTTGCTTCCACCTTGATAAGATGTATGTTTGTGCAAATGGATCGGAATTTCTGCTTGGACTGTCAAAATGAAAACATTTGGCTGAGAGTGTTTCTCTGACGCTTCATGAATATAGATTTATTAGATCGATCAGTAATGGTCTAACAGCCACAATCCGATAGTGGTTCATAAAAACATGATTTAACAGCCGTTTTCTTTTGATTACAGGACAAATTTACGGTTTAAAGTATTTTATAAGAATTTTCTGTTTTTTTCAAATTTGACACATCGGGGTAGAATTTGTCTTCAGCAACCCATGCTTGCCGTAAAAGGAGACTATGCTTGTCGTAAGAGGCGACTAACGGGATCGGGTGGTCAGGCTCGCTGACTTGGTTGATGCATGTTATCGTATCCCAATTGCATGGATCGATGCTCATGATATCAATCACTGGGTTGTCTGGTCCAGACTCGATTACTTACAGACCGCCTTCATATAGCTGGAATATTGCTGAGTGCGGCGTAAAACAACAAACAAACCAACTACAGTAAGTCACTGTTTAGATACTTGCTGGAAGCTGAGATATTGGTCTTAAAGTCAAACGAAAGTCCATCAGTTGGTGGTGTGTTTTTTTGCCAGTTGTTCTATTCACTCACAATTGAAGCATTAATGCAGGTGCAACCTGTACAGTCTCCGTGCATAGTTTCACTTTGTAACAACAAATTTCATTAGTATCTCTTCATGCACTAGTTGGAGATTCCTCATAACCATATTTATTTCTTTGTTTAACGCCACACTCAGCAATACCCCAGCTATTGAGTATTTTATTCTGTGAAGGACCACAAATCAGAAGGATAATTACACCGTCCGTATAGTCATTCTACTGAAAGTTCCAAAGACCTAATTATCAATTTAGATATCTTTTGATGGGGTAATTGTGCGTTACCGCACGCGCCCTGACGTTTGTGACTGGCACCGGACTTATGTCTTACAAAGATCCAGTAAGTTTACATGCATCACGAATGCATTTACCAAATGATCCATGGAAGTTGTCTACATTTCATGAAGGTATTGGACACTTCAAGGGGCCATATGTCCGTACAGACACCACATATCGTCACACATCCACATAGCGACACTGTGTACATGCCAGTTAGAATTAATTCGTTGTGATGAAATACGAGGTAATTGAAGTCACACAGAAACGTTCCGAATGATCTTATCGTCTGAACTTCCGGTACCTACGGAATACTCCTTGCATTGAAATGTCACTTTCTGTCGTCTCCATCGTCATTTATACTTAGAAAGGTGAATTCTTCCTCGAATATTATTCTTCACAAGAACTAACAGACGATACTGTGCATAGACAGGCATTCATAATGGAACCGATCGCAGATCGAAAACGGATGTTTTTCACAATATAACGCAGAACGCCCGTCATTTTGTGACAAAGGGAATCCTATTTCACCTCTTAAAATTTCACCTTCACATGTATGTTATAATTCGGCTTCAAGATGTACGCATTGTATAGTCTATCAATCCATATGTTTTATCTAGACATCTAGATGTACAGAAGGTATAGTTAATCTGCCTGTTTAAGTTGTCTTAAGGTATTATTCAGTAGATGTCAATGAACACTTGTACAGTCACCCTACCTGTCTTGTTGTGAACATGAAACAACAGTCTCTGGCAATTCTTCACTGGTCCAACATGACGCCTCTCCCTCGATTTCTGTAAGATTTGATGAATTCAACACATAACATCTGATAGCTATTTATGAAGGCCTTGTAAAGTTAAACACATCTGCCATAGTAAATCGTAGTAAATCTTGGATAGCATTGTCAATTAATTTAAGGAATCAACATGTCACTCAATGCGGTACACGGGCTAACATTTCAGAAGCAGCTGCTCATAGAAAACTGGACATGCGTATACCTGGTTTGTGGCTACAGAAGGTATTGAGGGCAATGTTCAGATGTTCAACTCTGAAATGTGATCTTCTCAAATACCCTGATCGTTGGCATTCATCTGCCATTGTCAATGTCTGCTGGCTGGAAAGAGAAAATATTTATTTATAGTCTTTCTGCCTAACATTCGAATTATATTCTGAAGGTAGAATGTAAGTCGTTGGTAATTAAGTTAATGTGTATGTGTGCCAACCTCTTCATTATCAATGCTGCGGTGGTTCGGTGAAAATAATAACAGCTTTATCAATATGGCACATTAAACAATAGTTAGTAAGAAGTTGTCATATTTACAAAACGACTCTTGTAACTTTACCCGACTTCTACTATGTAGCATATCACATACGGATGGGATTGTATGGTTACGATTAATGAGTGTAATGGTTGCTCAAACTGCAGATGCATGGCAATTGTTCATGTCTCCATGGCAGTACAAAGGTGGCAAATTCAAATATCAATAGTTGACATCAATAACACTCTAGGCTATCGGAGAGTTACGATAAACACAATTACTGAAAGTGGACTGATATCCTTATTAGAACAACTTTTCAGCAATCGACTAGACCTTGGAATGATTTTCATGATATGATATATCATAAACCAGTGTTTTTAAGCCTACTAATTGCTGAATATTTTTTAATATTGGCTAGTATTATGCACAACCATCAGTAGCTAAAGTGATGCCGTAAATCCTGCAGGGGTATTATGAAGGAAGCCGAGGTACTGTAAGTCCTCATGATCCCCAGCGAGGTGGCCTAGCTTTGGTTATCGGTGGGCATTAGCCTGTGTTTTAAAAATGTATGCATGATATTGTTATGCTCAAATATGTTTCATAAATTGTTTTTAAATGTAACTTTGCATAAACGACTCAACTGTAAACTTATTAACTTGGTCTCGTCGCAATATGGCTGGAATAATGCCGATGCGACGTTAAATTTTAACTCACTCACTCACTCGTCAGAGGTTGACGAATACTTTCTCTGAAAGGAAACAGCTTAAAAATTAATTATTTTAAAATATTTTATTAGCTAATTACGATACTTACCTGCAATCAAGGCTCAGTCTGCCATCTTCGATAAGATTGCTAAACCTTGGTCTTACCATGATCCCAAATATTTGTGCATAAACGTTCTGACATGCACTAGATGTAGCTGGTACAATCTCTCTCCTCGTAGGCCACTCAAGACCGGACACTGGAAGGTCACACAGAGAAGGATATAATTGTCTGCGAAGACTTCAATATAATGTAGTATGTATCGCACAATTTTGCTGGTGGTAAAATACATGATAGGAAACTTGAATAAAAGCGACAAAAACTTTCCGTATTCAAAAATAAGTCTCCATCGTACGATTCCGACGATATGGTGAGCATGTGTTGATGAATCAATATCAACTAGTGATTAAACGCTGTTGTAGTGGATTTATTATATATGAAGATAAAAGTATGAGGTGTTATGTACGGGGATTTAATATATCAACAAAAAGTCCCCATTTCACGTTGAAGCGATGTATTGTATTATTTCTTCTGGCAATACATTCTTCGACATAATATTAATATAATAATAATAATAATAATAATAATAATAATAATAATAATAATAATAACTTTTATGAATTTAGAGAAGCAGGCCTTTAACCATTTTATACTCATATGTCAATGTGTCGTATTGCTGCTATTACAATATTATTGAGAAAGATGTTATTAAGCATCCCAAAAGACTTATTATCAATATTGTACATCAGTTAAGAATTGTTTTAGATCCAACCAAAAGTTGTTGACAATTATGCATTCTCGAGAAACACAGCAAGTTGTAACACATATATGTCAACTAGCGTCCACACAAAGTGACCACATCGACGGAATCATTGCATGTGATACTAAACGCCGCTTTTAACAGTTTTCTGTTATAGACCAGTGTAATGAGGTAGCGTGGTAAGGATTATGATGAGGATGTATCTGGGATTTAAATCAACGATCATTATGTGCTGGCTGGCATGCTTATGGTATGCAACTCGTTTCGTTAGTCTGTCATGTATAAATACTGAAACATGCTACAGTATAACGGTTACCTACCAGATGAGAGGAGAACAGTAGCAACACACATCACAAACTTCATCCTGGCAGCATGCAGTCGATGTGAACGATGTCACAGAACATCCCAGGTTTTTATATAAGAAGTATTCAGAAAAGATAATGATTTTTCCAATTTGTTTCAATTGCAAGAGTAATCATCCTTCCAAGTCATGTGTCAACTGAAAAGGTTACGAGGAATTCCATAAACTGAATTATACGTCCACAATTATTCGACTTTCCTATATATATGTATAACTAACTAATTTGATGGAACAATAGGGAGAGACATTCAAGTGAGACATTAACATTTCACAGGGGCATGAACACCCAACTGACTACTGCTAAATATCCCCATGGAATTTCGAAGAAGAATAGGTTGTCAACAGTGATGGGCCTTGACCTGAATTTCAACAATTCGCCTTTTCGATCAAAGAAAACGATTCCTTTATTTTCATAATTGAATTCGATTTGTCACATATCACATGCTTGTGTAAAGTTTTCTATCAGGTGTTTTTGTTTGTTTGTTTGTTGTTAAACGCCGCACTCAGCAATATTCCAGCTATATGACGGCGGTCTGTAAATAATCGAGACTGAACCAGACAATCCAGTGATTGACATCATGAGCATCGATCCACGCAATTGGGATACAATGACATGCATCAACCAAGTGAGCGAGTCTGACCACCCGATCCCGTTAGTCGCCTGGTGTGAAGATACGCAAGATGTTGGAAAAACACAATATACCGGTATTTTCCAAACATACTGTGATAGTATTCATTAGTATCGTCGTAACAGGTGGTTGTCGCAAGAGGCGGCTAACGTCATCGGGTGGTCAGACTCGCTGACTTGGTTGATGCATGTCATCCTATCCCTGTTTTCCTGACATCAGATCGAGACTTGGCACATTGCCTTAAATACGTAATGTCAGCGATAATACATACCAGTCGAAACTGATGACTAAACCTTCAACGCGCGTTGTTTTATATATTCACTTCGAGTAGTTAGTTTTATAGCAGTCCGACATTTTTTGGCCATTTGAAATTGTTAAAAGTGGCATTAAATATAATATATTTAGGCCCCTTAATCAGTTGTTGATCAACCTTCATATTAATGCACTAGCTAAGTACCTGTTCTGAAGAACGCATTCATATTTCAACTCTCCCTTGAAATCCCCTGACAACGAGGCACATCTTTTTATACTTCAACTCTCCCTTTGACCCGATGACAAGCAACGCGATTCGCAAATGTACAAGTATTTCAATTCTTCCATTAAACCATATAATGATGTGAGAACGAATGTCCTTTTATATTTTGAATATCCTTTGGACCCCAGTGACGGTTAGACACTGATCATCAACTGTGTATCATTCAACCCTTACTTTGCACCCATAGACTTCCAACCGTATGTGGATACTTTATATTTCAACGCTTCCTTCAAAGCCAGTGATATTGTGGTTATGGAACACAATGAGTGGCTTCGATATTTCAACATTGCCTTTGACTGTTTGACAACGTCTTACCACAATATGTTCTAGCTTGCCTTTCAAACCTTTGATTGGGACGTGTGTCTTGAATATCTTTCAACTTTACCATTTTAATCAGGTGACGATAACAACGATAAAACTGTCAATACCATTTATAAATAAACGAAATGATGGTAGTGCTGCAGACATATTTAATGTAAAATAAAACCTCCTGTTCCATGTTGGACCAATAGTTTTTAAATGGTTTATTGGCATATACATCTAACCAACCAGATCCAACGAACCAAACATTCCTGTAGGCAGAATATACATATGTAGTAAAGAGGTATGCATATCTGCTGCCAAAGTGTGCAACGCGTTAATGTTTAGTTTTGTAATCGTCGGACGTATTGTTATGATGTAGTAGTAGTAGTAGTAGTAGTAGTAGTAGTAGTAGCAGCAGTAGTAGTAGTTGTAGTAGTAGTAGTAGTAGTAGTAGTAGTAGTTAGTGTTCTTTGACTGATCTACGCATCTTCCCGAAATGAACACATAATATCTAATATCAAAGTATTGGTATCACTGTCTTTTGTTAAATTATACTGAGTATGTTGATGGTCTTAATAAGACTGTAACAAACGGGAGAGGACTTGAATACACTACATAAGACTTTGTGTATGAACATTACATAGAATTTTCAAGCTCAAGTCATAAGTTTGCTAAATGCTACTTGGACAATACAGAGCATGAAAGAAGCATGACAACAGGACTTCTGATGTTGGCATGGGCCTTGACCCTTATGATATTACGCATGCGCACGGACAGTGTCTAAAACGCGAGAAAATGAATTGTCGCATTCTCGCGATTTCGTGTTTTTGTGGCCTAATTTGACAAGTCCAGATTGCGGGATTGCGAGATTTTGCATCATGTCCAAATGTCGCATTCTCGCGTAGTCGACATTTGACAAAAAGTGCTATGTACCAGAAACACAGGCATGCTACTAGAATGCTAAAGAAACGATGGTCGAAATTCAGACTCATTTATTAAGATTCAAACATAACATGATGTTTTGCTCCACTTTTATCGGAAGGTGTGTTTGCATGGATACGTCTAAGGAAAAACACCCAAAATCAGCTGCCGGAAGATGGCGCCAGTGGTGTTGGTGCACTTTCTGAGATTGCTCACATTTTGGTCAGCACACTCAGCAAAAGCACGCCTGAAACAGAATAAACATATTTAGTAAATAATAACATGTATATTGTACATCTTGTTGCCAAATATGGCACTCGCGTTAATGGAGAGATTTGATTCATATATTGCAATTATCTCGTCACAAGTGTCTTTTTTATTATAATAATAAAGGTGCAAATTTGTTATTTAGGTCAACTTGGGGGAGGAAAACCGGAAGTGAGGCAGGTCTTAGATGATGTTTCCACTGCGAAGAGAAATATTTTGCTTGGTCCAACAAATGTACCCCGAATGCCTGTCTCAAAGATTTACCATTACCCTTAATACTAAGAAGGAAGGTCTTTCTTTATATTCACACATATCTCACACAAATGGCATTAAGACCATGTGAAATCTAAAAACTCAGCGGATTGGCTTGAATTATTTACTCTCAGAAAACAACAAAGTTCAATCATGTCCGATTATTTAATTGTTTAACTTAGTACACCACTATCCCAACTTCAGGAAATACTTAATACCTTGATCAATAGGGCATTTGTGACTAGTGAGTGAGTGAGTTGGGTTTAACGCAGCTTTTGACAGAATTGCAATTATATCACGGGAAGTCAGCTTAGTTTTGGAGGAAAGCCCAAAGTGATTCAGGTAATACTATGGTGCTGACAACCTAGGAACATAATCGAAGGAACATAATCGAACTCACAATCGTAGGTTTCTTGTGTGCCCAAGGGACGTAAAAGCATACTCACTCACATACTCATATATATATAGGGGCATTGTGTCGATGCTGTTAGTAACACAAACACTGGGACCATCACACTTGGGGAACCTGCTTACAGTTAGAGCTGCCCCGTCATTTTGTGACAAAGGGAATCCTATTTCACCTATTATGATTTCACCTGTAGATGTACACAATAAACAGTTCACCTATCCATGTATGTTATAATTCGGCTTCAAGATGTGCGCATTGTATAGTCTATCAATCCATATGTTTTATCTAGACATCTAGATGTACAGAAGGTATAGTTAATCTGCCTGTTTAAGTTGTCTTAAGGTATTATTCAGTAGATGTCAATGGACACTTGTACAGTCACCCTACCTGTCTTGTTGTGAACATGAAACAACAGTGTCCGGCAATTCTTCACTGGTCCAACATGACGCCTCTCCTTCGATTTCTGTAAGATTTGATGAATTCAACACATAGCATCTGATAATTTTTTATGAAGGTCTTGTAAAGTTAAACACATCTGCCATAATAAATCGTAGTAATCTTGGATAGCATTGTCAATTAATTTAAGGAATCAACATGTCACTCAAGGTGGTACACGGGCTAACATTTCAGAAGCAGCTGCTCATAGAAAACTGGACATGCGTATACCTGGTTTGTGGCTACAGAAGGTATTGAGGGCAATGTTCAGATGTTCAACTCTGAAATGTGATCTTCTCAAATACCCTGATCGTTGGCATTCATCTGCCATTGTCAATGTCTGCTGGCTGGAAAGAGAAAATATTTATTTCAAGTCTTTCTGCCTAACATTCGAATTATATTCTGAAGGTAGAATGTAAGTCGTTGGTAATTCAGTTAATGTGTATGTGTGCCAACCTCTTCATTATCAATGCTGCGGTGGTTCGGTGAAAATAATAACAGCTTTATCAATATGGCACATTAAATAATAGTTAGTAAGAAGTTGTCATATTTATTAAATGACTCTTGTAACTTTACCCGACTTCTACTATGTAAGCATATAACATACGGATGGGATTGTATGGTTACGCTTAATGAGTGTAATGGTTGCTCGAACTACCGATGCATGGCAATTGTTCATGTCTCCATGGCAGTACAAAGGTGGCAAATTCAAATATCAAGAGTAGACATTAATAACACTCTAGGCTATCGGAGAGTTACGATATGCATAATTACTGAAAGTGGACTGATATCCTTGTTAGAACACCTTTTCAGCAATCCACTGGACCTTGGAATGATTTTCATGACAGTAAATATGATAAATCAGTGTTTTTAAGCCTACTGATTGCTGAGTAGTTTTTAATATTGGCTAATATTATGCACAACCACCAGTAGCTAAAGTGATGCCGTAAATCCTGCTGGGGTATCATGCAGGAAGCCGAGGTACTGTAAGTCCCCATGATCCCCAGCGAGGTGGCCTAGCTTTGGTTACCAGTGGCCATTAGCCCGTGTTTTAAAAATGTATGCATGATATTGTTATGTTCAAATATGTTTCGTAAATTGTTTTTAAATATAACTTTGCATAAATGACTCAATTGTAAACTTATAAATTTGGTCTCGTCGCAATATGGCTGGAATAATGCCGATGCGACGTTAAATTTTAACTCACTCACTCACTCACTCGTCAGAGGTTGACGATTACTTTCTCTGAAAGGAAACAGCTTAACAATTATTGTTTTTAAAAGCTTTTATTAGCGAATTACGATACTTACCTGCAATCAAGGCTCAGTCTGCCATCTTCGATAAGATTGCTAAACCTTGGTCTAAACATGATCCCCAATATTTGTGCATAAACGTTCTGACATGCACTAGATGTAGCTGGTACAATCTCTCTTCTCGTAGGCCACTCAAGACCGGACACTGGAAGG